TGCCGCCTTCAGCAAACCCTGGCTGGTGTCTGGGGCCAGGGAGGAGAATTAAACTCCCACTTCCCCTGGTTAAAGCCCCCGTCTCCCAAGTACAGAGGTGCCCTGCCCTGCTAAACTTCCTGAAAGTTACAGCTGGCAGTGACTGTGGACTACAAATCCCAGAGGTACCTGGAAGCAAGAAGAGGAAGTGATGAGCAACCCTGCAGAGTCCTGCTGCTATAACTCTGGACTGCAAATCCCATAGACCTTGGGAGCAGCAGGAAGAGGAAGTGCCGAAGAGCCATGCTCTAGCACCCCCCAGGTTCAGTTGTTTCTCAGTTTAATCTTTGCAGATTAGACTAACCTGCGAAGACTGAATCGATTCAGCCTTGGGCTTTTTGACTGTCTGTATTAAGCCTATGTGCCACAGCCAAAAAGGTATTCAAGTGCCTAAATTCCTTTAAATTTCAATGAAAGTTTAGGATTCAGGGCTTTTGGACCTGGCCCTCACTATAGACTTGTACAGTACTCTCAAGTCAGGCCTTTAGCCACTACCATTATGCAAATAATACTTTCCTTCCCTCCTAGGTGGGTTTTCTCAGGCTCCCACTAACTCTTGCCTCCTAATATTAATTGAATGCAGGTTGGGATTTAAATGTAAATAATGAGCTAGAGACAGCATTTCCCATACTGAAATAAAGGAGTCAGACTTGACTGGTCTAATTCATTCCAGAGGGCATGCTAAGAGTGGAAGGGAAATGGCCTTCAGAAAGCACAGTAAACCAGGCCTGGGCTGGTTCTTGATGGTCCCTTATCAAATGGCCTTGTTTTCATGATAACCTAGACTGTCACTTGTGTGTCATCATCATTTCAGGAAATTATTCTGTATCAGCTTCAGAAGTAGAAAAGGTCTAACCTTTCCTTAAAAATGGCTATGGAGTTTGTGTTATTCACTATGGCTATGATTTCCTTAGGTGCAGGGAAAAAGTCCTGGAGTGAAGAGTGCCTGTGAGGAAACTCAACAAAACCGTGCTGTGGTCCCACCTCTTTAGGACAGTTAGTGCAACTATATAGCCCTGTTACACTAGTGTACACCACGTGCTCCATGCACAAGCAGGTTTCAAACAGTTTTATTGACTTTTCACTTTTGTGTGGGCAGGGTTGTGCCCTGAAAGGGAGAAGGGTTGTGTGTGCAGTACTTTTTAATGTGTAAATTAGAGAGATTTGGGAAAAGGCTGAGCAAGGGGTGACATCATGCATGCAAAGGAGAGTAGGGGTGAGTATGTGGGAGAAGGTGGGGGGGGAGGGTGTGACAAAGGCTGAGTCTGAGTGCACACATGTACAAGAGAGGATGTGAAAGGCTGAAGGGGAGCCTGAAAGTGTCAGGAGAGGTGAGCTTCCAGAGACACAGGAGAAGGGGGCATGTTAAGTAACCTGCATTAACCTGGAGGATGATGTAAAAGTGCGTTGTTTCGAAACGCAGCCAGCATGTGCTGACTTGGCTGACTCTTTACACCACTGGACCTGAAAAGCTCCTTGTGCAAGCTCTTTTCACCGGGTTCTGCAAGAAAAGTGCAAGAGGTGGGTCAGCCGCAGTACGCCGGTCTCCGTGCACGCCAGGGCCACTCTCCCTCCGCAATCTGCCCTCAGGTGCTTTTAACTGGTTCCAGTCACTTCCTGACCTAAGCAACTCAGCGTCTAACAAACAAGCCGGCATGAACATTGCCTTGTTTTGTCGTGTTTGGAAGAGAGGAGGCTTGCCCCGGAAGGAACAAAGTGCAGGTATCTAAATAAGGATGAAAATGTGACAGACGACCAGCTGGAAAAGGGCTGCTGAGGAATGAAAAAGTCCCTCTATGTGGATAGGTTCAGCAAATCCTGGCAGGCAGAAGCTCCCAAAATGCTCAATTAGCAGCTTACACGAGTTGGGACAAATCTTCCATAATTTCCTCTCTGTAACATCGTTCTGCCTTTACCCATAAATTCTTTAACTGGACAGCTTTAAAAAAAAAAAAACACTTCCAGCACACTGGTATCCCCGGTAGTCAAGTAGGGATGGATATTCTACAAGAGCATAAAAGTGAGAAAGTCCCCTTTTATTCCTGCACTGGAGATGTCTCGAACATGGCGGACTGTGACCACTGCTCCCCATAACAGCAGCACTTGGGGAAGGAAATGCATTTCAATGGTCATTGTTATGTGTCGTTCTTACCCTCCTAAGCGCACTGCTTTCTTTCTTTTAATTTACTTTAATTGCATTTGGCAAAGGGACAGGAGTGAAGCAGGGCCAGGCAGGTTCATTTTCCTTGCAGATAATGCATGGGAGGATCTAGGATCTTGAAACGGTGGGGGTGCAGATGGTGTGGCACATCACCACATAAAACACAACAAATATTTTTCTCCAGTTAAAGAGAAATGAGAAGCTTACTTAATACGTTAGGGGCCTAGCGCTACATTATTCAGTTTAATATCAAAGCAAAAACAAATACAACCATATAGAAATGTGCACTAATTTCCTGAATTACCTATTGAGCTTAAAAAACCCCACAGCATAGGCAAAAAAAAAAAAAAGCCAAAAGATAATAAAATCATAGAGAAGTAGGGCTGGAAGGGACCTTCAGAGGTCATCTAGTCCAACTCCCTACCTGAGGCAAGATCATCGCTATGCAAACCATCCCATACAAACCATAATCTAAATTCTACATAAGACTACCATGAGCATGTTTGCATTAGTCCTGTAGTCATCAGAGTTAAACATGCATCTCTTCCTCAGATTCATAAAACAAATTCTAATCTTGTTGAGTGTCTTGACCGCACCTCCAATACTTCAATGGCAGTCATGTCTACACCTGAGTCACTCCTGCCACGCCTGACTTAAGGCTTCTAGTGCAGCTGGGCTGTGAAATAGAATCGAGATAGTACCAGGAATGGCTCGCGCACAGCAAAGTTGCAGAAGAAGGGATAGTTTGCATAGTGGAGCATTGAGACTTTTGACACCCGTGAAGTGAAGAGACATCAGTGCAAATCAGGTAGATTATAATGAGCCATGAAGTCAATTGACTTCCTCAGTCCCACCTGAATAGACAAGCCACTGCTTCTCCCAGGACAACGTCATCTTTGTTATTCCTCCTGTGAACCAACAGCAAGGGCGGAGAAGTCCCAAAAACCAGTCTGTCCAGCTGCCACAGGGCTCCCTTTGTATTAGGTGCTCAGGTGGCTACAAATATCACCGAAGTGGTCCCTTTTCCTGCCCTTTGCTCCAAGTGGCAGGTCTCCACCACAGCCCTCCCTATCCTGTGGGACTTCTGCACTGTCAAACTAATCCCTAGGGCTATCAGCAACCTGCATAGTTTAGAGCAGTCTCAAGGCTGCTTAATTCACTTTAGGGACCAGCCTGGCCTAGTGAACTTCAAGATTGAGGGGTCACCATGGGTGCCTGACTTCCTTAGCGATGTCAAACGCTTGTTAGAGGCAACTGAAAATCTGCTCCTACAATTTGGTAGTATTACAACACTCAGCCGTGATAGAAATGAAGATCCAAGGTACAAGGTAGCAGAAAGCCAAGCTATTAAGCCCAAATGATGCAGTGCCGTCCTTCTAAATGTGCAGCCCCTTAGTTTTGGTTTCAGATCAGGACCCTTGTTCTGCAGAACTCGCCCAGCCTCTTCCAATTATTTCCTCTTAAAAGAAAGAGCCTGCCAAAATGCAGGGGGTCTGAAGGTGACCATCCAGCCAAAACAAAATCAAATAAAAAAAAAAAAAGAGGGAAGAAAAGAGCTGGGCAGGGGGTGGAAATGAAGTTCTCCGCTTAATTATACCTTCAAAAAGGAACCAGACCCGCCTTCTTAAGTACCGAGTGCTTATGCTGACTGCAAAGCCTGGTTCAGATCCCGCCAGGCAGAGATCAGATCCTCGAGGGGGGCTTGAGAGGAGATGCCCTTTTCAAAGAGAAGCAAACATGCCCCGTGAGCAATTTAATGATTGCACATGCAAATCGCATGGGAAGGAGAGTGGTGCGGGGGTAACTTGACAGGAGATCGAGATGCCCATGAGGACCTGCAGGGAAAGTGAAGCGTGCCAGAGGTGATCCAAAAGGGAAGGAGAGGATGGGCGTGAGGTGTGCGGGGCTCCAAAGGGAGAAGGATGTGATGGAGGAAATCCTTGAAGATAAAGCAAGAGCATGAGGAAATGCAAGGAGAGAGAGATGCTTGTGTGGGGGGACAGGGAGTGAAAGGAAGGTGAGTGAAGAGAAATTCAAGGGGAAAAGGCACTGGATAGGGGCTTCCCGGAGGGAAGCAGAACGGACCTGCCAAGATCAGGGGAAACCAAGGCCCGTGTATGAGAAAACCCAAGCACGTGGCTTCCTACAAAGCAACGTGTGGAAATTTTCCTTCTGTTACATTTGCCGCTGCTTATCTCTCGCTGATAAATGTATTCACCCTTCTTAAGCATTAGGGAAAAAAAATGGAGTTTACATCCCCCGAAGCAGTGAATTATGCATATGAGGGAAACTCGAAAGTTTGGCACGGTAAAGGGGAAAAAAAAAAATCAAGTGTTTACAGCAATAGTAAAATAGAGGGCAGCAAATGAAGAAAAACACAGAACTACTTCTCATCTGGGGCTTGTTAAGCCCTGCGAAGCAGGCGTGGAAAAGCTGATGGATTGCGTCGCAGCATTTGGTGCCATGCTTTTAGTGCCCATCAAAACTGACAGTTTGTTTGCCCACTTCCGAAGGGAAAGACATGCCTTCTCTCTGATGGCAAATCCCAACCCGCTGCAGCCCGGCTGCAGGTGAGAAAGCAAGCGCCACATGCAGGAGTCTCTGCGCCGGCGGGATCAGGGAGTTGTGACGTCGGTGGCGCAGCCGCCGTCACGGCACGTGTGATGCGCTCCATTGCACAGAAACAACCTCTGGGAGTTATAAGTACCGACGTCTGGGGCCCCTATTGCCCCGGTAGGCAGGAGAGTTGAAGTACTAATGGAAATGTATATAACCAGTTCGTGTTCACAAGCAGTTGAACAAAAACACTAACCCAGCTAAGATGCATCTCTATAGGAGCCCTGGGAAATGAGTAGGGAGCATCCCCCCACCTCCCGCTTCGTTTTACAGAAGGGGAAACTTGATGTAAAAAAAATAAAACCCAAAAACCTTGGACTGAAACCCCCAAGCTCCTGGATTGGAGCCTAAAGTTCAAGCCACTAGACCGAGGATTCCCAAACTTGTAATTGTTTTTCTCTCCCATAATGGGTACCGCGCCCAAGCAGCCTGTCTCCTTAGGTAGCCTCCCCTCCCATTCATGAGCACATAACATCCCCAGGGCAATCGCTGCAGTGGCTCACGCGGAAAAGCAACATGAGGAAAGTATTTAACGTATGTTTACTTCTTTTAATAAAACGTAGCAGCTGGAATCAAAGAAAAGCCATCCGCACCACGTGATGGCACCACTCTCCGCAGACCACCGTTCGAATCCCCAGTGGTCCAGGCACCACACTTTGACGAATGATGCAAGCGCCTATACTGCCTAATTAGCAGAGCAGTATAAGGCTAGAGAACAGGCATATCTTCTTCCTCCCTAAGTGGCCACTGAATAAACACTCTATCCCCAGTTCACAGCCCCTTTTACATTACTGGCATCACCGGTCCTTTGTGTACCCACATGCTGTTACTTAAATTGCTTCCATGTTTTCATTACTCGCCCTCTGTGCTATGTGTATTGAAACTCCTGCAAGCATACTGAAGAGGTATTTGGAAGCACTGGGGACTACTGGAGATGTGGCTTAAATTATTATGCAACAAACCTAAGTGATTTTTCAAGTCCTAATAGAGTTAGCTCCTCCTTAGGGGGAAAAAAACAAATCCAAGCATTACTCCTCTAGGTGTAAAACAGCCATTTCTACTGCTGATACATGAGCCTGTAGCTCACATTAAGGGTTATGAACAGCCCTCCACCCGTGTAAGTCTCGGTGGGAGTTCAAGGCGACGTGTACCCCTGAATATATAACATGGGTGGTAAACTGGAATAATGCTACTGCTCTCCTTCCCAAGAAAAAAAAAAACAACCCAAATATATTGGGCCAAGCACTGAGCTGGCAAAAACCCAACGGAGGCATGCCAGTTGAAGATTTGGCCCACTGGCTCAGTGTAGTGGTCCCAATTGCTGCAGTTCTTCCCATTTGATAATCCTCTTGGGTTTACTTTTATTAAAGCAATGGGACAGGAAGCCAATATCATTTTGAAGAGAGAAATGCCATTTAAGCAGCACAAGTCTTGGGATGGTTGAAACAATAGAGCTCACGGTCTCTCCGTCTCATACATAAATGGGGCTGACGATATTGTCTGCAAACAAAGGGGAAAACTACCTCCGTGTGCTCTTCTACATGGGGAAAACCTGCAGAAGGACTAGGCCACCCCAGCCCCGGTACAGTTCAGGTTTCGACTTGCAGAGTTTTCTCCTAGCCTCATGCTAACTGTATCTTTAAAAACATATCTGTGCAGACGTCGTGACACGCCACTCGGCCAAGAAAGCAACCACATGATTTGACAGTTGGAGCCTTTGTCCTGCCTTTTTCCTACCCGTCTCTTGCAGTATCTGTCTTCAACTCCTGTTGCAACTCGCCTGAATTATTTAGGTAAGGGCCTGATTCTGCAACCCTTTTCATGAGCCGCCTTTAATCCTGTGGGAAATCTTGCTGGCTAAGCTCAAGCCTCCTTAGACTGCACATCGCTTAGGGTCAGGGGACTTGCTTTGACTGTAAAAATCCTCATTGTCCCCCTTCGAATGCCCACAAGATGCTCGACAATGCTTCGGCAGCTGGTGTGTTGTGGCCGTTGCTCATTATGCTAATCATAATCATCTCATTGTTACCTTGTGCTCCCCGTCTGTTTACTGAATTCACCTGTTGTCTTTGGTCATTTATTTCGATTCTGCCTGCCTCTTGCGTGTCTTTTCCCGGGGGGGGGTGTGCATGCGTGCTTGTTCACGTGTGTTTGCGTGTATGCACGCTGCCTAACCCGAAGGGGCTCTGATCCCAGACGGAGACCTCCAGTGCCACTATATAGATATAAATGATAAATGCTTAATGTAGCCAAGTTACAGCTGCTGAGATTTGTATCTCCTACCCTCTAGGCAATTAACATCTCTTCATTAATATTGCGAGTGATGGGTGGGGAGGGTTGCATATAGCTTCTCTGTATTTTGCTTGTGTGAGAGCTTTTCCTGGCTGGCTATAAAAACAAACTCATTACAATGCTCATATGTTCAACTGGGAATTAAAGTCTTATGAAAACCCGTGCACCCTAGGGCATCCAAGTTCACTCAGACTCATCCCCGGAAGTTACTGGGCAGGACGTGTGTGCCAATCAGTACATTTCCACAACCATACACTTCTACATAGGCGATGTGTAGGGAGTGGATGGGGGGGCACATGCCCCCCTGAGATTGGCCACCACCAATGCTGCCACTGGTTTCTGTGGCCCCCCCCCCCCTCCCCCCCCCCCCCGCCGCCACCACCACTGGCATTTATGGGCAGTCCCCACTCGCCGCCACCAACACCAACGCCGGCAGTTGTGGACGGTGCCTGCTCGGCGCCTTGATGCCCCCCCCCCACTCTCAGGAGGCACCAGTCATTCATGCACTTCTGTAACTCTAGACATGCAGTTACTGAGGGCCAGATTGCAATTTATGTTGAATATTATCTTACGCAAGTCGCTCTGCTCGAATCAGTGGAATTATTTGGGTTTAGGGTATTACTCAGTGTTATTAAGAGGATCATGATCTGGGCCTGAGCTTCTAAGCTAATGGACGGATAGCCAGATACCTGGAAAACCACATCACAATGCACAGTTGGGTCAAATAAATCCCTGGCACCATTCCACCGCGCTAAAAATAAAACACACAATGCGTTAATCACACGGGGTCAGAGAAACCCTTGGCTTTGGTTTCCATGAGTTCATACCCTCTAAGATTCACCTTCAGTTTGCAGTGAGGAAGGGCCGTTTGTGCCTGAACGCTTGTCTCACTTCTCTACCAACTATACAGCTAGGCCAATAAAAGATACCACAAACGAATCCTCTCCTCTTATATACTTCCTGGACCACTGTGGATACAACATTCAACACCTCCCTGTGAAGCGTGGCTGAAATGGTTGTTTTGAATAAGGATATGAACCTGCAGATCAAATTCATCTGTGAAGCTCAATTCAGTGGCAAATTTATCCCTGTGCATTGCACGTGCCTTGGGGCTCTAATTTGTCCAGGCCTGCTCACATGTTTCATGACTACTGATGATACTTTCACTGAACGGGCTCGAAGACTTGAACACCCCAAGAAGCCTGTACACTGCCAATGTGTAGAAGATGAGGATTTATTCCCATTGCAGGAGAACACGGAGGCCTCAATCAGAACCAGAGCTTCCTTTGCTAGGTACTGCACAGACACCTCATAAATAAAGGGCCCTGACTCAAAGATAGCCTGCGCTGCTTAAAATTCAAACAAAATTGCTTCAAATGTGCCCAGAAAAGCACTTGTGTTGGCTCAGGCCTGAGGACCCAACAAGTTACTGAAAACCAAACCAAACGCATTTCCTGAAACATGTCTGATAAAGGAAAAGATGAGTTTCCCTTCTAATCCTTTTCTCCTGCTGAAGCACTCTTGGCAAAGCCAAAAGAAAGCATCCATGTTCCCCAATTTAAAGAAGAAATTTCAGCCCAAAAGGATATTTCAAGAAAATGATAAGCACCTGGAAGAAAATGAGGCTTATAATGGAAGTATTTTCTCAACCATAATTTTATTTTCCATTACCCTTGAATGCTGTAATCAAGGGTAATGGAGCCCTTAGCCCAGTATATGGGAACAAATTCAATTGGTCTCAGTGCACATACCTGTATTTTAAAAGGCAGTCCAAAGCTTAACAGTCAAAAGGGTTGAGCATTTGTGTTCAGATGCACCACGGTTGAAAATGGGCACATCGTTTAATGTAATTATTCATCTTTCATTGAGATTACATACAAAACAGAAAAGTCCTGAGAAAGTCTGGTAAGCTTTTGACCCCTTTCAGCACATGAAGGCTCAGTCCCGATCATGGGGAGGCCGGACTGTCCTGAGTTTGTACCGGCTGCTTTGTTAACCAAGCAGGACTTTGCAAATTGATGCCCTTTGTTCTGGGACAGTGTACTTCTATAGCCTGCCCTCAGTTGCCAGAAGAGCAACTGGTCCATAGCTGCATGAACTCATGCAAACTATATAGCACCTTCATGGGAGTCTTCAGCACCGCAGACCCTTCTCGCCCACAAAAAGCATAGATAGAAAAGCCTGTCACATCCCATCCTGTTTTGGTAACAAGGATGGTCACCATTATTTCTGCAAAAGCAAAGTCCTAGCAGCCAGGCCCCAGTTGTGCCCTCTGAGGCATGCAGCTGGCTCCCAGCCCCATTCCCAAGACAGCCGTGGGTCCACACCATCATTGCTGGGAGTTGCATGCATGTACCCGTGGGCAGAATTTGTTCCTCATTGTTTAGGATGTCTGATCACATTACCTCACTTGTCACATTATGCTCAGTCTTGTGTTAAAAACATGCAGAGAGAAAGGAACCAGCTCAGTTCATCAGCTGTGAACAGCTAGTAAAGAGCAGAAATAAATAAATGGCTGCACGAACGTGTGAGGTGTCCTTACCTTCTTTTTGAAGTGCCCTCTGTCCTCCTCTTTAGCCGCTTTGCTATTTTTCCCAGCTCTGGAGAGTTTCTGATCCCCAGACTGCTTGATGGTGATCTTGATCTCGGGTGGACAGATATAGTTCTCCAGGTTCTTCGGGGGCTTCTTAGCTCTCTTGGTGGTCTGAATTTTCAGTTTTAAACTCCCCTCTGTGAAGTTTGCTTCCTTGATGGAAAACTCCTGCTCCTCCAAGCCATCCCCGGCCACCCATTTCTCGCTGTCTGCATTGGAAGTGGAATCCACATCTCTCCCAGAACCCAGCTCGTCCTCTTCCTCTGGCTCCATCCTTTCTCCACTCACTGGGATCCCTTTCCCGGAGCCCGAAGCAGGCAATATGGTTTCCCCCGCGCAGCTGGAAGCCGGTGGAGGCTTTGCAGAGGCAACAGTAGCTGGCAAGAAATCCGCCTCGCCTCCCCTTTGCCGGGAGCTGCCTAAGGTCTCCCGTGGCTCCATGGCAATCCCACAATGCACAGGAGTTTTATAGGAGGGAAAAGGGGAGAGGGGAAGGTGATGAGGAGAAGCAGGGAGCGCAATCCCAGGAACTGAATGATAACTGTCTGTAGACTTTTAGAGGCCCAGTAGTCCAGACACTGCAAAGAGCTCAGAAGAGATCAAATCTGCAACTGTTGAAAAAAAAAGAGAGAAGAAAAAGGAAGTCAGGACTTACACGTGTATCAAAACGCAACCGGAGAAATAGCCGAAATAGAGGCGTGTCGGGCTTCCCCCATTCCAGCGGGTACCAAGTGCCTTCTGGAAGCCCTGAGCATCTTCAGAGAAGCACATGGAAAGTTAACCGTGCTCAGGACCATTCGCCATACTAGAGGCCAGGCGGTGTTTGAAGCAAAAAGGGATCACGGTGCGTACACTGCACTTGAGACAAATTGGATAAACACGTAGAGAGAGAACAAAAACATATACTTCCTATATATAACTTCAGGAATATATTCTTTATGGTTATGGTTGCCAAAATCTGGAATGGGCTTCCAAGGGAGGTGGTGCTGTCCCCTACCTTGGAGGTGTTCAAGAAGAGATTAGACCGGCACCTGGCTGGGGTTACTTAACCCCAGCGCTCTTTCCTGCCTAGAGCAGGGGGTCGGACGTGATGATCTACAAGATCCTTTTCGAGCCTAGAAATCTATGAAATCTATGACATCTAGTTGCTTAGACTGGGACTAGAATGGAGGTGGGGGGGTAGGATTATTGTCCCATAAACATTTCCTGGATCTCAAAATATTTCCCAATTCACATTGAGGTTAAAACAGAGCCCCTTTAAAAATGACTAAAGACCTTCTCACCTGAGTTTAGCCACGAGTCCAGTGGGCTTAGGACCCTAACTCAAGATATTGGGTTCCTCTGAATCAGACAAATCCTTGACGAGTGCCTGAGCTGTGGCGCACACAGTTTTTCGGTGCTGCGGGTCTCAAAGTGTCTCGCTGGAACGGCGCCACTTCATATAAATAGGTAAAAATCCACTTGAGTAAATACAGACTAACTCTCACCTGGACATTAGGGCACACACAGCTGCAATGGCAAAGATGGGGGTACTTGAAATTAGTGTCCATCATATGCTATGGGACAGACCCTATTGTGAAGGGCTCTAGAGGAAACCCTGAGGCCAACCTTTTTGACAGGGAGTAGTAGCAGCAGGTACTTCTGTGTTCGGAGGCCCAGCTGGAAACACCTTCAAAAGACCTGGTTTTTAGAAAGCGCTTCTGTTCTTTAAAAAAATCAGTTGACTGAAACTGGGCACCTAAAAGTGGAAGCCCCCAATCACTATCCATTTATCCTTTGGCCTGAACTTACAAGAAAATTGCTAACTTTTCTATAGAAACAAAACAAAACAAAACAAAAATCTGCACGTTTCATGCAGCATTACGTAAGGATCCGTTCAGATGCCAGGCGTACAGTGAATAATACACGTGGGAATCAACTGCAATCAAAATCTTAAAGCAAATAGGGATTTCCTAGCCCACGCTCAGCACTGTAGAAGTGAGACCAGGAAACAGCACTGTTGCCAGCCACCACATTAGGACGGCATCATTAGCAGGTTCCCTGGACATGGTCCACTATCATGTTGTCATTCTGAGACACCATTCACCAGGGGAAATCACAGAAGCTCTTCGTGGTGACTACAATTTGCTCAGCTCGCTTTTTCTACTCTTTAAGTTCCTTGGTTGCCTTTAGCTTCGTCAGACACCTCCTCCCAGTTACACTGGGATTTTATGGGACTATGGAGGGAGATCACCCATTTGACTGAGGTCTACACAGCTAGTGACAAAGCCCTTGTTAAACTCAAACTTCGTGAAAAGGTTTGGTGCCCTCAAACCAGATCCCAGGAGACCCGAAGTCACAAAAAAGCAATGTAAGTGATGGAAAACCTGCGATACTATCACTGTGACCTGATTAAGGCAGGCGCTTGTACACGTGAGGGCGGTTTAGTCCTTAGGGTTGCATTATATGCCCCCTAAATTGAAACGGTGAGTTTTTAATTGAAACCCACCATTTCAATTTAGGGTTTTCTGTGACTGTTATGAAAAGGGCCCAATCCTTTTCTTTTGGCGAAGCCTGCCCACGGCTGGGGGGCGAGCTACTGGTGGGCCAAGTGACCCCCTGGGGGGGCCCTGGTCCTTCCCTCCACAGTGGCAGTGCCCCCTGGGGCCACTTGGGCGGACTGCTAGCAGGCCAGGTGCTGCCCCAGCTCAGAAGCAGCACCTAGCCTTATCCAACTCTTCGCTGGCGCAGTACCTGGCTTGCTAGTAACCCAGCTGGGTGGCCCTGGGGGGCACTGCCACTGCAGAGAGAAGCAGCTGGGCCCCCCGAACCTCAGAGGCTGCTCAGACTGCCAGCAGCTCATCCCCTGGCAGCAGCAGAGGTGGGCAGGCTCTGCCAAAAAAAAGAAAAAAGTATCAGGCCTATTGCTGCTTCTGCCTTCAGCACATGCCTGCTGAAAACAGAAGCAGCGAGGGGACGGATCCTTTTTTTCTGCGGAGCCTGCCCGTCTTTCCCGTGGCTGGAGAGCGAGCTGACTTAATAGCTGCAAAGCACTGTTGCAAACTAAACTACGTCAGGATGCAGTTTAGTTTGCAATGATATAAACTCATTAAAAGCCTCTAAAACATCTGCACGTGTACAATGCGATGCCATTAAAGTACACAAAGTGACATTTTTGTCACCTGCACATGGTAATGGCATCATGTGTACAAGCGCCCGCGGTGGTCTCTCTGGCTCATGAAAGAGGAACGTTGGTAGGGCAGCATAAGGAAATACTCAAGTTGCATCTTTTCTGTGAATAAAGACCGGGGCATCAGTCTCCAGGGCTGTTGTTTGCTGGACCTCACACAAGCATTAACTGAAACGGTCTGGAGGAAAATGCACAGGGCTGAGCGGCAAGCAGACATGAGTTCTAATTCTGATTTTGCCAGTGGTTCATGGTGCGATCTCTACCTCCTCTCATTTTCAGAAAATGGTAGATAGCAATCCTTGCCTTCCTAAAACCCATTTGTTGAGAGGATACATTAATTAATGCCTGTACACTGCTTTGAACATGGCGACTTACCCAAATGCTGGGTGCTATAATTGCCACGCTAAATCTGCCTGATTGTTTTTATAAAGCATAGAACTGCTCCACCTAGTTAACTCTTGCACCTCACTTTGAACTGTGTCCAAACCAGACCTAAGGGATCCCTCCTGTTTCCATCCAAGCCACTGAAATGAAGGGACCTTATTTATCTGACATTGTTAATCCTGGTAGACAGGGACACAGTGTTCGCCAGCTCTAAGTACTGCAACATAAACACAAGGTGGTAAAGTGCTGCTGTGCAGCATTCCAGCAAGTTACTGCTTTGGTATGCACGCATGTACAATGGGCACTCTGTAATGGGCCTCCGCCCACAGGACGTTAACCCCTTTCATTGCTGGCACAAAGAGCAAGCAGCTTCTCACAGAGGACATCTATTCGAGAAAACAGGGCGCTAGGATGTGCCAGTTAATACTAGGCAGCAATGGAGAAAAATAGCTGCAGCTAGCTCTCAGCAAACAAAAGGTTAACCCAGACCCAACATCAGGTCCAAACTGGGTTCAGAGCACAACCCTGGACCCAAACATTAGGAAGCTAATAATTTCTGGAAGCTATAAAGGAGCAAATGTAGGCTCGTATCCCAAAGTGTGGATCCAGTACCGTAGCAACAAAGTTCGGAGCTCGGGGCGAGCCCACAGTGGCAGTCTGCCCTTGCCTGGCACACAGGTCCGGGGGGGCATGCGCCCCCCCATGCTTGCCTGGGGGTGTACGCAGCAGCAGGAGCTGCCCGTCCCTGCACCCCCTGAAACAAGCTGCGTGTGGCACTGTCCTGCACCCTGCCCCAGCTGGGCAGCACCTATTGGCACTCTTTTGCTTCAGCGCCCATGGCAGTCACGATGCTCGCCCCCCACTTGCTATGGCACTGTGTGGATCCAAGCATCTGTTGCAGGCCTGTTTCTGATCTACGTGCAATCAGCGGAAATCAAGTGTAGCACATTATACTGCATATAAACAGGTAAATTAGGCCAGTGAGATCCTAAAGAAGACGCCTGACTTCATCTTGTTAGAGCATGCAAATCACAGTATCAAAAGACCTGCAGGAATAAACACACAATGAGGCACCAGTAGCTTCATACAGGAATGAAATGGGTCATTGGTTAAACTTTTTCATTATTCTGCTACAGGGTTAATAGTTAAGTGACTTGGGTGCTGGGACACCATACTTGTCTTTCTTGTTTGGGCAGCCTACATATGCTTTGACTAGTTAAGAAACCTCACTTCAGCCTCCTGAATAAGTAGCCTCCTGAGTAATTCCCAACCTCCGGGCCTTCCCTCAACTTCAGGCATGTCAGTGTTGTGGGAACAATTTCAACTTTTAAAGCGTCAGACTCGAAGAAGAAAACACGAGACATGCTAATGGGAGATACCATAGAAGTGGCTCCCTCAATGGGAGCTGTGTTATTTCAAGTGAAGTGACAATACCCTTTTGTTAGTCTATCCTTAAAGCCTCACAAGCAAAGATCCAAGGTTATGGGCTTCTTCAGGACTGAAGAAAATAACACTAGAGTCCAGTAAAAAAAAAAAAAAAGTTTTAAATGACTCCCTCCCCCTACCAGTTTTTAACAATGAATCCCTGGAGCAATATCCTGGATACAAATGGTCCAAGTCTGAGTCCTGGTCTTAATTTTGTGGCTTGGGCTTGCTTCTATGTGTTGTTTTCAGGTTCACATGCCTGCTTTCTTCCTTGCTTCAGCTGGGGCTGCAAGTGAAAATGCCAATGTGATTCACTAAAAGGTTTTCCTCTCGCAGTTCTTCTGCCCTAACTGGCAATGTGCAGCATGGGAAACCTAGCGGGAAAGCATATTTTCCAAGAGATTTCCAATCCTATTTTACACTCCCAGGCCCAAGTGACTGGGCTAGCTCAGACTCTTAAGTGTTTAGCTAAACTCACCCTCTAGACTTGTTGAGTTTCACAGCACTAAGTCCTGTTTAATAATCTATTACAGATGCACCGTATCTTCTGAAAGAGATTTCCAGTGGAAAGCGCAATGAGTGGGGGAAAAAAAGAGCAAATTTCTGCTTGGGGATGTTTGCACATCTGATGAG